TTAAACTGGCCGCAAATCTCAAGTGCCAGTGCTTGAAAACCTTTCATTTTTACTTCATTGCTTGTTAATTCATCAAGGAATTACGGCTATACTGATAGGACTCCCACTGCTCCGAACCAATTAAAACAAGAAATCATGGTGAAAACCTCTGCTTTCTTTGTTATGCTTCGTATCTGTGGTGTTGTTAGAGTTTCTATGGCATTATTTTTGCTACTTTTTTCTTGAATTTGGTGTTTGGAAGTGAATTCTTAGCATGAATTTTGAAACAGTTTCCATGGGAGATGGTTGGGTTCGTTTAATTGCCCCGCCGTTGTAATCATTCGTCCCTTAAAGAAACCCTTTATGTGTTATTATCATTAGCTTTTTTCCTGAAGTTGATTGCGTCTTACAGGGAACAACAGAGGTCGTTCGGGCTGTGCGGTTCGGGTTCATGTCAGATGAAGAAGTCAGGCGCCAGAGTTCAGTGAAGATCACAAACCCTAATTTGCTTGATGTTTTGGACAATCCAATTCCAGGTGGACTGTATGATCCTGCCATGGGGCCCCTGGATGATTTATCTCCGTGAGTAGGCTGAAATTTGAAAGGAATTAACTCATGCTTTTGTTAATATTTTTGCTTATATGGGTAAATGCAGATGTAAATCATGTGGTCAGAGATCATACCATTGTGGTGGTCACTGTGGCCACATTGACCTGGTTTCGCTCTCCTACAATCCGTTGTTATTTAGGACCCTGAGCAAACTTTTGAAAAATACATGTCTTTACTGTTTTAAATTTCGGTCGAACAGAAGTGAGGTGAGTTATTACCTACCTACTTAGCTAAGAGATTGGTTTCTATTGGTATGTTATCTCACCTAAAAATTTGACTTGTTTGATATATAGGTGGCGAAATGTGTTTCTCGGTTAGAATTGATAGGAAAGGGCGACATTATCAGGGCAAGAGAGGTGGGTTTGGAAAAGGGGGTCACACTGGTTAATGTAACTGAGACAAAGGATTCTAAGCAGACATCATGGGATTCTTGTCTGCTCACTGAAGCTATTGGGGTTTTGAACGAGTATTTAAAACGGACTAAGGATTGCAAGAACTGTGGAGGCGAGGGCCCTAAGATCAGAACACCGACATTTGGATGGTTTCACGTGGTAAGTGTCAGGAGTAGTTAAGCAGTTCAGTTTTGTTGTATTTTTGAATCAGGGTGTATTGGTTTGTTCTAATTTGACTTCATTAGGTATGAGGATGGACATAAATGCCTGAATTATGCGCTCTGGTTAGCAACCCGTTTCATTTAAGACAAGGAAACATTCCCTGAAAGTTATATGAATCTTTTGTTGACAAGTGTCACAACCTACAACATCATTTACAGAAAGGGAGAAATGAGCTTTTCCAAATGCACTTTTAATGAATTATACTCTCTCCAGTCAAAAAAAGGCCATGATTGGCAAAACAAATTTAGTTATTCGTTTAGTTTTCAATAACATCCTTATGCTAATCATATTTTCTTATCAAATCAACTGTTCAATCTACTCCGGCTCTACACCCTTGTAGAACTTTTAGGTATGTTTCTGTGGCTTGTTCTATCTGACATGGTTTTTTTTTTTTTTTTTTTTTTTTTTTTTTTTTACATTTTTAAGATGATCCCAGATTCCCATTGGGAATCTTCTGTGGGGTCTAAGCAGCCAAATTTCACATCTTTCAATTAAGTTAATGAAACTCACTCGAGAACTTTTTGTTTGTCTCTTTGGAACTAAGAACTGGATGCTCAGTTCAAAATTTTATTTTCATCCATCTTTTTTCCTGAACATGTATGCTTTTGAAATAAATAGTTATTTTGTCAGAGGAAAATAATTGAGTGAATTCATCTATGAACTGGTCTACCGAGGACTATCATCCATTGTTGCTATGATGAATATTCACTCATTTACTTTTCATCTATCGTTCAGAAATTTTAATCAGAATGATTACCATTGAAATATTTACTATCAGAAAACCAACAGCTGGAAACGCATCTTGCCATGTTAGAGTAATCGTGTCTTTTACGCATGCCAACTCAAACGAAATAAATGACTTTGGTAGAGCTCAATGTGTATTTGGGGAAAGTCTCTGAGCTAGAAGAAATAAAATATTTATCTACTTGATAATGTGTACCTTTATATTTTGATTTGTGTTTCTAACCTATTGTGTAGGAAGATATCTCCTTTACTGAACTCAGAGAGATCGTCATAAAGAGCAAAGGTTCGGATCTGAGTCACAGTGGAAGAGGTGAGAGTACTCCATCCGAGGTTGTAGATGCTGATGATTGTTCGTGGAAGGATGATTCTGAGACAGTGGAAGCCCATTCGATTGACAATAAAGTTGTAACTCAAGAAAATAACTCAAATCATGGATTAAATGATACAAGTAGTCTACCTCTTTTACCAACAGAGGTAATTTACTTAGTTTCGTGTTCTGATGATTTTGTCCTTTGGTTTGTAATCTATTTAAGGGTCTTGTGCATCCTAATTTTCAGGTTAGAGATATTCTGAGGCGCTTGTGGGAGAATGAAGCTCCTCTATGCTCATATTTATATGATATTCAGCATCGAAAAGATACAATTTCTGGAAATGCAACTGGCTATTCAATGTTTTTCCTAGAGAACGTTCTTGTTCCGCCAATCAAATTCCGACCTCCAGCAATAGCTGGTCATTCGGTAAGTGTTGAGAAAAAATCTTTTGACTTTTTCTTTGGCATCAAATAACTGTGTTTTTCAATATTGGCAGCTGGTTTTAGCATGTACAGCTATGATATTTAGAAAAGAATTGGTTGCTAAGCGATATAGATATTTCTACTCATCTTCATGACCACCCGTTATGTTGTATAGTCAAATTTTATAGGTGGGAGGTAATAAAGTGTTTGAATCCTTACTAGTTTTTGGTTATGTTCACATTGACATTGTTGAAGCTAGAAGGCTCGCCCCTCTCTTTCTGAGTGGGATGATAGTTAGTTTTGCTTACTGATGAGTCATGAGTGGGATGGGGTGGAGATGATCATATTACCCGAAACATCTTTATTGCCAATACAAGCTTGTGTTTATCTGTTTGTTACTGAATTATTTTTGTTCTTATTCCCTTTAGATGATGGAGCATCCACATACTGTTCTATTGGGGAAGGTGCTGCAGTCGAATATTGCTTTGGGAAATGCTCAAATTAATATTAGTGAACGCTCAAGGATCATTGCTTGCTGGGTTGATCTGCAGCAGTCTATCAATGTGTTATTTGATAGCAAAACTGCAACCAGTGAGCCTATTTCTGAGGATTGTAGCTTTTCCTTTTGCGGTGGCTCATATTGAGATGCACTTTGCCTTTGATTTCATTTTGCTATTAAAATTTTCAACACTTTTTGTGTTATAGCACTAATCCTGGACCACCAATTTGTGTATAGGAAACTAGGTCCTCATGGCTCGTGCAAATCAATTTTTCTTTTATTTTAGTGTAATTCAGGTTACATGGTCACAGTGATGTGATTAATTACACTGAAGTATGTGATGGATGTTGGTAGCTGTTGATTTATTTGATATATGCTCTATTCTGTTTCAAATAATATCGAGAAGGAATCATAACTGATCATTTATAAAATTGCCTGTTAGGCAATTAACGGGTTAGGACATCGAGTAGATGTAAGGTATTTTCCGACAGCTTCTGCTACTCTTTGATCGAACCTGTCCTCTCCAAGTGCACTTTTTTATTGGATGAGAGCATTTTGTTTGTACAATTTGTTGCCTCTTCCAAGAGTTCATTTTTTTAATTGGATAAGAGCATTTTGTTTGTTCGTTTTGTTTCCTCTTTCCAATAGTTCATTTCATGTTTACAATCGTCATAAATTCGGATTCAGTCATCCTACAAGTTATTATATATTCCTTCTCTCCTCAGGGGTGTTGTCCATGGCTTTGCCTCGTCTACTTTTTATTTTTATCATTCTTAGAACATCCTTAACAAGTTAAGTGATCCTCATTAATAAATTCCATGCTATGCCCAGAAAAGTGGAGAGTTGTATTTTAAGAGTGGTGCAGTACTTTTATAGTAGTGGGCTGCAGTGCATATTGATCACAGCTGGATATAGGAATCACTTTTGTTTCCCTGGAAATTGTCATGATTTAGGTAGTTTGAGTTCTTGATCTCAGTTGCAGTTTCTTGTTTCTTGTGTTTTACTTGTCCAGATGTTTGGTATATGTTCTTACTAGAAGTTGCCAAGGTTTTTTATGCTTTGGATGCAGTATTCTATAGTTTTCATGTTATGCAAATTCGCATTATTGTGACAGGTCAAGCTCAAATTAAAGATTCTGGAATATGTCAGTACCTTGAACAAAAAGAAGGCCTGTTCCGTCAGAATATGATGGGCAAAAGGGTCAATTTTTCATGCAGATCTGTCATTTCCCCAGATCCTTACTTGTCAGTCAATGAAATCGGAGTTCCGCCATGCTTTGCCTTGAGACTGACATATCCAGAGGTATGTATGAGAGGTTTCTGTAAATTGTTTTTTACTTTGTAGTTTACTGTAGTCATCTGTTGTGTGACAAATAGATGAAGAATACAACCGTATCATTTGGCTGCACCTTTATATATGGCAAAAGAAAATTTATGATTGTTATGCTATATTAACCTATTCACTTTAACTGGTTTTTTCTTCTCTCATCAATTTTTGCTAGATGTGTGGATCTTCCAATGAGTCCGCATGCACCTAATAAGAAATGAGTTCCGTAAACCATATTAAAATTATAGTTTGACGGGCAGCAAGAAGAAATGTGTTTGAGATCCATGATTATAATAATAGTCTTTTGTTGATAAAATCAGACAAGAAAGCATTACTGGAATCATGAAACCATATTTATACATGCCATCTTGATATCTTAACAGTGTCCATGGTTTTTGACATCTATTTTCAGGGAAAGCAATGAACTGCTGAAATTTTATCTGCAGTAAAGGAAAAAGAGATTCTATGGACATCCTCTGTACATAAAACAATTTAATTTTCTAAAACTATATTGATGTCAAGATATTTTGAATAAACCATGTCGGTTCAATTTTGTTTACAAAAACTTTAACAATTTTCATTGGAATGATCCTTTTGGTTTATGAAGTTACGATGAACGAGTATTGCTGTAGTTCTTTATATCTCTTCTGCTTAGGGTTTAATCGATGAATTCAGTTAAGTCTCATGATGAAATATTATTATCTATGGGAAAAGATGAAATCCATTGATTTACAGCAGTCCTGATCATTTAGTTTATATTAGGACCCAGGACTCTTTTATATTTACTTGACTAATCAGGCATGTTAATAACTGAACTCAATAGAACTATATCTGCAACACCACATTTCCAGATATAGGATTTCCTATTTTAAGGAATTCTCTGTAGCACCTTTTCCATATAAAAAATGATTGTGTTTTCTTTCCTATCTCTCATGCCAGATTTGGTAATATAATTTTTGGACATATTTCCTGAATCATTCACTAATAATATATAGAGGGCTACTCCTTGGAATGCTGGAAAGTTGAGGGCTGCCGTCATAAATGGTCCTGAAATTCATCCTGGAGCTACAACTTATGTTGATAGTACGACCACTGTGAAACTGCCACAGAGCACAAAGATGCGTGTGGCAATATCAAGAAAATTACCTTCTTCTCGAGGGAGCATTACCAAATCAGGGAATGAACTTGATTTTGAGGAAAAGATTGTCTATCGGCACTTGCAGGATGGTGATATTGTGCTTGTAAATCGGCAGGTACCTGAAATAGTTTATACGATTATCTGATGTACTTACAAGAATGCAACAAACATTTTGTTCTATTTATTTATTTTAGCAATTATATTGTGATGCAGCTCTAGTTCCTAACTTATTTGGAGATAGTTATCCATTTTGCCTGATTTTCAGTAACTTCCTCTCTTCAGTTGTATTTATTATCTGTTGTTAAACTTTCTTTTTCTAGTGCCAGGGTCTTCATTTTCTGTGAGATCCTCAACTAGGACCTGTTAATTTGGCTCTTTAGTTATCTATCTATAAACATTCCTGGACTGTGTTCTTCTGTGGGAATGACATAAGATAGTGGATGCTGTTAGCTTTTCTCTTCACTAGATTGACATTTAACATTCAAATTATTGTAAATAAGGCAGACTTGATATAATTCGTAAGGTAAAGTGCAACATTATATTGCACCTTTTTGGAAGGACCTAGTTAGATTTTACTCCTCTGTGCATGTACCTCTCTCTGTTTTTTCTTTCTTCATTTGTTCAGAAACTATTATACTCTAAGGTGTTGCTGACCTGTTTAGCATTTGAGCATCTAAACCTTGGAACTTATATTCAGGGTTAGTGTTTTTGTTAGATTTGTTGTTATACAACACAGTAGTTACTTTGTGTTTGTAAATCCCATGGTAACTCGAATATGACGCTAGAGGTAGTGTTTTTGAAATTAACATCCACCAGAATGAGTAGGCAATGAGTATAATTAGTCATATTTCATGCTCCTGTAGAGTTAGATTATATTTCTCCATGAAGAGTTCTGTCTGTTTCATGGCATCCATTCTCTCATCTTATCTGTCTTGGTTCGATCAACTAATTCTCTGGCTGCTTTGGTTAGTACTAAAATTTGATTTTTCTTTTTTTATGTCAGCCTACGCTTCACAAGACCAGTATAATGGCTCATGTTGTTCGTGTGCTGGAAGGTGAAAAAACGCTTCGCATGCACTATGCAAACTGCAGGTTCGCATTTTCACTTGCTATACAATATTGTGTTCTGCTCTAATAATTATCGGTAATAACATCTTGTATTGGCTTCAGCTCATATAATGCTGACTTTGATGGCGACGAAATCAACGTGCATTTTCCCCAAGACGAAATTTCTCGGGCTGAAGCATACAACATCGTTAATGCTAATGAGCAGTACATAGTCCCGACAAGGGGTGAACCCGTGAGAGCTTTGATTCAGGTTTCAGTATCAGTAAAGGATGTCTTCTTGTTATCTTCGTGTCCAGCATATTGTTAATCATTGTTCACCTCATGTTCTTGTGCTATATTCAACCTTAGGCCTGCATGATTAACTATTGGCACGCCTAATATTCCAGGATCACATTGTAGCTGCCGTGCTTCTGACAATGAAGGGTACATTCCTTACTTGGAGTGATTTCAGCCAACTGCTTTGTGGGTCTGGTGTTTTTGCAGCAGGGCCTAGTTCACGTCAAGTAACCCATTCCTCAAAGGTTTCAATAGTAGATTGTGAAGGCCTTGCGAAGTCTGTCTTGCCTGCCTTGTGGAAACCAGTGCCCCTTTGGACAGGAAAACAGGTTTGTTTATTTAGATTGTGACATTTCGTCTGATTTGCTGAAAAATTTGGCCGATTAAAGATGATTGTTAATCTTTTTGGCAACAATCATATTTTCTTTTTTCTTCTTCTCTAGGTAGTTACAGCACTACTGAATCATATCACTCAAGGCTGTGCGCCTTGTATCACAAAAAATCAGGGGAAAGTCCCCAAGACCTATTTTACTGGGAAAAGCTTCCAAAATGATGAGGATGAAGAAGATCAAAACGTTGAACATGAATTGTTAGTTTGGAAAAACGAGCTCGTGCGTGGTGTGATAGACAAGGCTCAATTTGGGAAGTATGGTTTGGTTCACACTGTGCAAGAGCTCTATGGGTCTGATAGTGCGGGTATTTTGCTTTCTGCATTGAGCCGCTTGTTCACCATCTTTCTGCAGGTGCTTTCTTCGTTAATTCAGATTTTCCCTATAAAGTACTATTTTTGAGTGCCTCTGCGTATTGATCAAATTACTATACTTTGATCATGGCTCAGATGAATGGATTCACATGCGGGGTAGATGACCTTGTTATATTGCCTCATTATGATCTCCAACGGAAGGAGAAACTCAAAGGAGAAGATGTTGGTGAAGAGGTTCACTGTGAATTTGTTAATTTCAAACCTGGGCAAATAGGTACCGTATGATAAGATTTGTATGTATATCCCCAGCATAGGTCACTTTAAACTTTAAATGCACATCCGACTTTGGATTTTATACCAAACTCGTATAGCCTTTAGGATTGAATAGCTTGTTACTCACAAAATGTAATTGCATCGTTTCACAGCCAATGACCTGCATTGCCTTTCTTTGTTCTCCAACATTGTCAGCCTAATGCCACCACAAAGGCACAAACTGACACTAAACTACCTCTATTATTTCTAAAATAATTTCGACTATACCTTGATGTGATATTTGATTAGCAAGATATTTGTGGGCTACTATTTTATATTGCATGAGTTTTTTGTTTGGTTTGGTTGTTTAACAGTTGATTAGCAAATTCCATGCAGTAAATAGATAATGAAATAACCATGATGGTCTTTTTAAGCTAAATTCCACTCTTCTGCCCCGTTGGGCTTGTTTTTCATCGCCATGCTTTATCGTGATTCACCTAATCACATTCTTGAATGGGAGCCCTGTGCTGTTCAGTTTAAAACTAAATGAAGACTTGCTAATGGACAATGTATTGGTACTTAATTTCTCATTTTCGAGTTTCTCTAAATTGTTTCCAAGATAGAGGTGATCTTTTGTTTCTCGTTTCCCACTCAGGATTTTGAAAAATGCTACCCATTCTTTTTTGTTTTGATTTCTTAGGCCCTGAAGAACTGCAGATGGAAATCGAGAAAGCCATATGCAGTGACAGAGAATCTGCTACGGCATCATTGGACATGAAAATGAAGAACAAATTGACAAGTAGGTTGACTACAGAAGGCTCTCAGGTGTTCAAGCAATTACTGACTGTGGGATTATTAAAACCTTTCCCAAAGAACTGCATCTCTGTCATGACCACAGCAGGCGCCAAAGGTAGCACGGTAAGATAGTAAATAAGATAAATCCTGTCTCGTCTCATTTTGACATGAGTATTTTTTAACTCTGTCATATTTCCCGCCTTAATGCTTTGCTGTTAACCTAAATTGGACCTGTTCTTGACTATAACAAATGTAGGATAAAAATCCCTCCTGCCGGATGAATTTAAAAGTAATGTATTTAGTGATATCTTGTTTGTTTTCTAATATCCTGAAAAATGTTCCCAATATCTATAGATGAGTAACATTTTGGGGAAAGGCTTGCCCTTTTTTTCTATTCTTTCTATTTTTTTCGTATATTTCACTAGATGGCATTTTTATCTGCAGATACCTACATGTGTGTGTGCTGGCATCCATATATAAGGCTAGACGAGTTCTTGTTCTTACACCTGGGGAGAGTTCTTGTTTGAACTCTATCCTACATATATATTAGTATATTAACAGTTCAAATTGACATGGTAACTTTAATCATTATTGATGTAGGTGAATTTCCAACAAATATCGGCCTATTTAGGGCAACAGGAGCTCGAAGGGAAAAGAGTCCCTCGAATGGTTTCTGGGAAGACTTTACCAAGCTTTCCTCCATGGGATTTCTCGTCTACAGCTGGAGGCTTTATTAGTAGTTGCTTTCTTTCTGGCCTTCGGCCTCAGGAATATTACTTCCATTGCATGGCTGGTCGAGAAGGGTACATCAAAGTCTTTCACTTGTTTCCCACTTGTCTACTTTGTTTTCCTTAAAAAAAACCTCATAACTTCCAATGCTTTTCTAACTCCTCCCTTCACCAATTGCTTTCGGCATTATTATAGTTTTAGAGCGTAATTATTGTCCCTGTGTATGCTCTCTCCTCTTTCACCTTGTCTCACTTGAGCTTATATTTCTGCAGTTTAATTGACACTGCAGTGAAAACATCCCGCAGTGGATACCTACAACGGTGCCTGATAAAAAATCTCGAGAGCCTAAAGGTTTGTTACGATTTTACAGTCCGCGACTCTGATGGTTCCATCATTCAGTTCTACTATGGAGACGATGGTGTTGATGTGCACTGGACAAGCTTTCTAAAAAACTTCAAGGCACTTCAAGATGTAATTCTTTCCCCATATATACAAATACTAGATTAATCCAGCTTTATTACACGGGTAGTCGATATTAATGGCACAGTAAAGGAAATATAACAAATATCTTTGCATGATATGGTTTCAGAATGAAGAAATATATAGTCAGAAATTTCAGAACAAGCGGGAGTTCAATAGTTACATCACAAAATTGCCCGAGGGGCTTGAAGAGGAAGCCAGGTGCTTTATTCACAAGGCATCAGAAAAACCGAATGCTGGTGGGTACAACCCGCGTAAAAAGCGCAGGGTATCAAAAAGTTACAGTAAGGCTTTTGCGAGGGACCAAGACAAGTTCTTGGAGTTGGTGAAGCAGAAATATTTGTCGAGCCTTGCACAGCCTGGGGAGTCTGTCGGCATCATTGCAGCTCAGTCAGTGGGAGAGCCATCTACCCAGATGACGTAAGACTAATTCGTTTGATGGTAAAAAGCAGAGTAGTTCAAATATGTTTCTGATGTTCCTCAATTGTCCAGCGAACTTCTAGAATTTGAATGTTATTTCTCATTAAATTAGCCGTGGTAAATGTCAGAGACAATGAAGTAAAACTGATACTTAAAAGTGATCGGCATGTATATGAACACATAGCTGTTGTAAGTGGATGACTGGCTGTGAGGTAATTTCCAGATTTGTAGCACCTTTTCATGTTTTCAGCTCAAAATTTAATCCTGTGGTTATACTTTGCATATTTTGTATAATAGTTAACATCATTTGTCATATTTTCTTTTTTGTCATACACAACAAATGTTAATGACTGAACCTACAATATCTCATTTGATGCTATGGTTTTACATTTTTTTTTTCATTTGACAGACTCAACACTTTCCATTTGGCTGGCCGTGGTGAAATGAATGTCACACTTGGTATCCCACGCCTGCAGGAGATCTTGAGGACTGCATCACGTGTTATCAAGACCCCCATTTTGACGTGCCCATTATCAGAATGGAGGTCCAAGTAAGTTATTGAAGCCTTGTTTTGCAGAGCTAAGAAACATATTTAATTAGTAATTTTTAAGTACAAATCCATTAGGACAGAATTTGTGATCCGTGCAACCATTCTCAAAGCATTTTATCATGGACTGCCAACATACGACATGTTGTTTTCAGGCATGATGTCATTTTTCTCGTTTCAAACGTAAAGAAAGTTACGGTAGCTGATTTGGCCGAGACCATGGAAGTTGCACTGTCGATCGAGCCATGCCAGGTAGCTAGAGTTTACAAACTGAAAATGAGGCTAAAAGACACTGAGCTTGTATCCTTGAAAGACACGCACGACACTCTCAGAACTGCATTTTTACTGGAAATGGAGATTGCAATCCACAAACACATAAAATTTCTCACGAAAGTAAATCAGATTGAAGTCAGAGAAGATAATATCTGTAGTTCAAGATCAGAAGCATCAGGTGAAGCTGGTGATAATGCTGATGGAAGTGATGATGATGCTGATGATGACCATGACACAGGAGATGATCTCGGTTTGGACTCACAAAAGAGAAAGCAACAAGCAAGAGATGAATTTTTTTACGATGATGAAGTGTATGGTGATCATGACAGTGATAATGGTGAATGTGAAAATTCTGAGGACAGAATTGAAACTCGTGATGCCCAAAGTGTTGATGAGGTTACGTCAGAAGCCGAATCCAGCCATAGAAAAGGTGAAGAAGCTACAACTTCAGGAACATTTTACTTGAAAGTAAGAGGCTTGTCTAATAGCATAAAACCCAAGTCTGTGTACATGTATGTTGAAGGGCTGTCGTTCGAAGTGCACTTCAGATTCACCACAGAGCCTCATCTGTTGCTTGCTCAGGTAGAAGCACTATATCTTCGCATTTGCTTGCTTTGGTTCTTACACTAATGTATGTCATTGAAAAAATATCCTTCCATCCCACAAATAGTCTCATGACAATTTCAATACTGTTTTAGAAAACGCAATTATCGTAGTTGGGAAAATAAAAATAAAAAATAAAAAATGGCTCTTCTGTAGGTGGTCATGATGTAAATTAAAAGTAATCTATTTAAAGTAATACTACCTTCGTTTACAAATAAGTGCCGTCCAAATTATATAGTATTAGAAATGTTAAACTATGGAACGAGAAAAATTGAAGTAGACGAGATAGAAAAAAATGAAGTATGGTAAAGAAACGGTAATTAATTTTATTTTTTTAGAATTACACTTACTTATTAGTAGTGTATAAAAACATATTTTGGGGACACATAGATTGCCCAAGCTGCCGCAAAGAAGGTGTGCATCAAGAAAAGGACGGCTGACCTTGGCAACTGCAAGATGGTCCAATACGACCCGGAAGAAAAAATTGTCATCTGGGATGATGAGAAGAAAAGCCCGGCACGTGATGTTTACTGGGCATTGAAAGCTTCGGGAGTTGATCTCAGTTCATTGTGGACTCAAATGGACGGGTGGGAATATCTGGACCTGACCCGTCTCTACTCAAACAGCATTCATGCAATGCTCGACACGTACGGGGTGGAGGCCGCACGAGCCACCCTGATAAGGGAGGTGACACAGGTTTTTGACATGTATGGAGTGAAGGTCGACTACCGGCACCTGAGCTTGATAGCTGACTACATGACCCACACGGGTGGGGTCCGGGCCATGAACAGGAGCTCTATTTCCCACTCCATGTCGCCATTCCTTAAGATGACGTTTGAGACAGCATCCAAATTTGTGGTCCAGGCTGCATCTAATGGGCTGATGGACGAGCTCGAGAGTGCTTCGTCTCGGATTTGTTTGGGCTTGCCAGTGAAGATGGGTACGGGCTGTTTCGACTTGATAAATGCATTGTGATGGCCTTTTGTTGAGAGTTTTGGTAAGAGTTTCTTCTTCTTCTTCTTCTTTTATTTTATTTTTATTTTTATTTTTTCTGGTTGGTAAAAAGAGTTTATGGGAAGTTAGAGTCGGGTTATTTTGTAAACAATATGTTGAGCTGGAATTATTTCAAGATGAATGAATAGTCGTGTTTTAGTTCAAGATGAATGAATAGTCGTTTTTTACTAAATTGCGGTTAGATACTTGGATATATTTCCCAAGGCTTTCTGTACCGGACCAGTCATCAATGGTCAGATTAGTGGTTGAGCTGATATTTAATTTATTATTATTTTTATTGTATTTAATTGATGTTATGTTGCATCAATTTGTAACATCCACTTAATGGTGAAGTTGTTACTCACATCCATTATGTATGGAGTTATGAAGTGGAGATTAAAGGCTTCATTTAGTGTGTAGTTGTATGAATGCAACTATAAATAAGGTGCTTGTGTGCATCTTGAAAGGTGTACAATACAAGACAAAAAACAAGTTAGAGAAAATATATATTATAGTGCTTTTCTCTTGTTGAGCCGAAACCATCACAAGGCGGCTTGAGTTTTAGAACGTGGAGGATACCGACGACTCTAGTAGCCGTCAGATAAAAGATACGGGCAAGTTTTCACTTCCGCTACAAAAGGTTAGTCCTATATATATTTATATATGTGTTATATAAAACACTAACAGTGGTATCAGACGTGGTCCAAAAAGGATCGTTCTGCACGCTATACTATGTTGTATTGCTTGCATAATGATCTTATTGAAGAGTTTGATAATTGTCCCACGACTAAAGACATGTGGGACCTTAAGGTCACCTTTGGGCAAACTTCGGCTACTAGGCTCCGTGCCTTGAACTTAAAGTGGATGGATTACAATATGGATCCTAAACACTCTGTTGCCGAACATTTGCGTGTCATGAGTGCCATGATACGTGACCTGAAAGCTGCGGGACGAGATGTATCTGATGAGGAGCAAGTTCTAAATGTGGTTCGTTCGCTTCCAAATGATTATGAGAATTGGAAGAACTTCAAGCTCCTCATGGCTCATAGCAAGAATGTAAAACTTATTCAGAACTCGCTAAACATATTGAAATTGAAGTAGAACGTCAGAGAACGTTAACACCTTCCAATATTTCATTTGTTGCCCATGGCGGCCAAGCCAAGGGAAATAAACGCAAACGAGCCAAGAAATTTTCTCGTCATTCTCAAACTTCTGGATCAAATGGTGGTTCAAAGAAACAACTTATGGCAAATGGCCAAAGGGAAAAGAAAATAGCGCGTGTGAAATGCTATAATTGTGGACAGAAAGGTCATTTCGCTCGTGATTGTGCTGAGCCGAAAAAAGGTACCTTCTACCACTAACTCTTTTGAACTATTTGTTTGTTCTCATGCATTAGTTGCTAATTCTATTCCTAATTGAATTATAGATACGGGAGCAAGCAAGCACATAGTTTATATGAAAGATCTGGATTTGTGGAGTTCCACCGGTTTCCTATTGGCACTCAAAATGTCATGTTAGGAAATGGGAGCGAGGAAGATGTCCTTGGGGTTGGAACATACCAACTTAAACTCCAGAGTGGAAATACATTACTCCTGCATGATACTCTCTATGTACCTGGGGTGCGAAGTTGTTTACTTTCAATTGTTTCCTTGTTAAAACTTGGTTTTTCCTTTAACTTCAATACTAGCGGTTTGAACATTTTGTATCATGACAATTTATTCAGACATGGTATTTTAAATAATGGTTTCTTTGTTCTTGACTTGGATGAAAGTTATAATGACTCATCACATGCTTTTGCTTCATTTTATAATGTTGATTCTGAATCTTTTAATTGGCATGCGCGACTTGGCCATATTGGTCAAGATAGAATGTCAAGACTAGCTAAAGAAGGACATTTGGGACAATTAACTAAGGTTAAAATGCCTAAATGTGAACCTTGTCTAGCAGGAAAAGCTACTAAAAAGCCTTTTGGTAGGGCATCAAGAGCATCAAATCCTTTAGAGCTGATTCATTCTGATATTTGTGGGCCTTTAAATATAAAAGCTCGTCATGGGGCTACATATTTTATTACCTTTATAGATGATGGTTCACGTTATGAGTATGTGTACATATTATCTCATCGACACGAAGCACTTGATACGTTCAAATGTTTTGTGGAAAGTTGAAAACCAAAAGGAACGAAGAATTAAGACTCTTCGTACTGATCGGGGACGTGAATACCTCTCTGATATGTTCAAAGAGTTTTGTGAGACTAAAGGTATTTCAAGGCAACTTACGGTTCCTTATACTCCGCAACAAAATGGTGTTGCTGAAAGAAGAAATCGTACATTACTGGACATGGTTAGGTCGATGATTGCGCACGCCAATCTCCCTATTAAATTTTGGTGAGATGCGTTGCTTACGACAACATACATTCTTAACCGTGTACCAAGTAAAAGTGTGTCACTCACTCCATATGAGTTGTGGAATGGGGAATCACCCATTTTGGACCATTTGCGCCCTTGGGGTTCGGCTGGCTATGTGCATAACCAAACTCACAAGTATGGAAAGTTTGGTCCAAGAGCTATCAAAATGGTGTTCATTAGATACCCTGATGGTATGTTATGTTTGGTGAACATCCAGATGGTGGCATGACTGAGTTGGACTCACGCAATGTCGATTTTCTTGAGGATGAGTTCCTAAGTATTGGTGAAATTAAGAGAGACCTTCAGTTGTATGAGTTGCAACAAGAAATTCAATTATCTTTAGGAGATGAGGGGGATATGTTACTTCAACAGGTCTCCAAAGATAATGAAGTTCTTCTAAATTCCATTAGTGAAATACAAGTATCTTTAGGAGATGAGGGGAATATGTTACCTCAACAGGTCTTCAAAGATAGTGAAGTTCTTCTACATTCCGCTAGTGAAAAACAAACTCAAAATAAGGATGAGCCTCATAGAGAAGAGCACGAGATAAGTCATCAAGCTCATAGTCCCATGCCTATCGAGGACAGTGGGAGAAATTTTTCTACTAGTTTGGAAAATAATGAAGGTCCTACTTTGAGAAGGAGTGATCGTGGAAGAATTCCTCGTTGATTTTTTCAAATTGAGGAGGATGTATTTCTTTGTACTCCTCTAGAAGTAGATGAACCAAACTCTTATAAAGAGACAATGAATTCACCATATAATTAAAAATGGAAAGATGCAATGAATGATGAGATGGACTTAATGATTAAAAATAATGTTTGGGAACTTGTTGACCTTCCACCTCATCGTCGATCAATTGGTTGTAAGTGAATATTCAAAATCAAGCGTGGGGTGTATGGATCAATAGAAAAGTTCAAAGCTCGTATAGTAGCGAAAGGTTTTACCCAAATTGAAGGTATAGATTACGATGACATTTCTCATGTGGTGAGGTTTGCCTCTATTTGTATTCTTCTGGCTCTGGTTGCCCATTTAGATTTAGAATTATTTCAAATGGACGTAAAACAACTTTCCTCAATGGTTCTCTTGAAGAAGAGATATATATGGATCAACCTATTGGGTTTGTCCCAAAAGGGCAAGACAATAAAGTTTGTCGCCTTAAAAGATCCATATATGGTCTCAAGCAGTCTTCCAGACGATGATATCTCAAATTCCATGAAGCCATTTGTGCATTTGGTTTGACCATGGTTGATGAGGATCATTGTGTGTATGTCAAGAAAAGTGAAGAAGAAATCTGTTTCTTTCTTTATACATCGATGACATATTGTTGGCTGGAAACGACATGAGAATGATCAATGACACTAAGCAGTGGTTGTCCTCTAATTTTGAAATGAAGGACATGGGTGAGGCTAGGTATGTCCTAGGAGTGGAAATAACGCAAAATCGTCTTAAGAAACTTTTGGTTTGTCTCAAGAAACATATATTAAAAGAATCTTAGAACGTTTTTGAAATGCATTATGCCAAACCCGTTGATACCCCAGTCGAATAGGGTTTAACCTTAAGTCTTGACCAATGTCCAAAAACAGACGAAGAAAAACATAAAATGAGCAATGTTCCATATGCTAGTGCAGTAGGAAGCTTGATGTATGCTATGTTATGTACACGGCCAGACATATGCTTCGCGGTTGGCTTGGTAAGTCGTTACCAAAGCAACCCTGGGCCTGCACATTGGCAAGCTGTCAAGAGAATCTTGCGGTACCTGCGTGGTACAAGTGACTTGGTACTTTGCTATCAAGGTGGGTCCTTGAAATTAAAAGGATACTCGGAAGCTGATTGGGGTGGCAATCTGGATGATTCAAAGTTAACTTCAGGATATGCTTTTATATTCGGTGGAGGTGCAATATCCTGGTGCAGTAAAAAACAAGATTGCATAGCCCTTTCGACCATGGAAGCTAAGTCTGTTTCCAGTAGCGTTGTCGTTCAAGAGGCAATATGGTTGAGGAATTTTCTACAGGATCTCAACCTCACTCCAAAGGTTGATGAACCTGTAGAAATGCATTGTGATAATACTGCTGCTATCCAGTATGCCCAAGATCCAAAGTTTCACAGAAAAACCAAGCATATCAAAAGGCGTTATCATTTTGTACGAGACGCAATAAAAAATAAAGAAGTTGTCATAAGGTATATACCCACAAATAAAATGATAGTTGATCCTTTAACTAAACCTATACGCATAGATGCTTTCCAAACTCATATGAATAGTCTTGGTTTGCGTAGTTTTTAATTTTATTTTTGTGGGATAAATGGATGTGTATAATGTTACACCGAACATATATGAAATTTGTTGTTCTTTCATATGTTCTTTAGCATATGTTGCATAATTAGGCATGAGTAAAGATGTCACCAGGTTTTTCATTACGATTATCACACAGGTAATCGCCCTATCACATTAGTTGTGAGTAATAGGATAAGACTATGTCATATTCATATTAAGTGTATGTAATATGAATTGTATTTATACTTTTGTTGTATAAATATATCTTTACAGTCGCCTTAGTAAGTCTAAGATGAGACTCTAAT